CCAGGCGAGTCTCAAACCCACGGGCTCAGGCAATCCACTCACCTCAGCCTCCCAAAGGCGTGGGATTACAGGCTGAGCCACCGAGCCCGGCTGGTTCTGAGATTTTCTAGAAGATGGAGAGTCTTGCCTGGGTGCTAGCGATTCCCGGGAATGGTAAGTGTGACCGCAGAGCCGAGCAAAGCTCAAGAGGTGATGCATTTCTCATCTGAGAGGTGAAGTGATGGCAGTGCATCTGTATAAACTGTTAACTGATTTGTAGACACGTTTCCTGCCAGCAATGATTTGTGTTCAGGACTTTGTGACAGGCAGCAGAGCGTGTTGGGAAGGGCTTGGGCAGGGAGATCAAAGACCTGGGTATTCCTCCTACTTCTGTCGGTTCAGTTTCTGTGTGTTTCAGGGCACCAATTTCATCTGTTAAATGGGACTGGTATGGCCAGGGAAAGACAATGAGTATTAGGGTAATGGAAACCATAATGACTACATAGCAAGTGACTCTTGCTGTGCCATCATCCATCTCATTTCCTCGCACCTATCTTAAGCATTTTTTGTTGGTAACTGAGCCAGCCTCATCTCTCCCTCACTCCCTTCAGTGGCTGAAGGTCACTTCGATGACAGGCAACCATGCACTCTGCCTTCCCCTCTGGCCCTGGTTCCGACCCTTTTCCTCACCTCTCTCCTCACCTCTCTCCGGTGGCTTTCGCTTACTTCTGAGCCAAAGAACGGTCATCTCCGGCTCCAGTGTCTAACTCTGCTGGAATATTGACCTTTGAAGAGGCAAGGCCCACAGGAGATGGTGTAGACCACCCAGGACCCTGCTAAAAGGGAACAAAACCTTTCCCTGGGCCAGTTTTCCCTTTGCAAATGCAGAGTGGCAGACTGATGGGTTAAAAAGCATGTCCAGCCGGGCTCGGTGGCTCAGCCTGTAATCCCGCGCCTTTGGGAGGCTGAGGTGAGTGGATTGCCTGAGCCCGTCCAAGTATTCCTCACCATCTAACTTAATTTTTTTCTTGAGTCGGGGTCTTACTCTGTCACCCAGGCTGGAGTGCAGTGGCATAATCATGGCTCACCACAGCCTTGACCTCCTGGGCTCAGGCCATCCTCCCTCCC